CTCCCTGGCAGAGTCACATTCAGCAAGCTCTGGTCGTGGTTGAAGGTCTCATCAGCGGCGGCATCGCAAGCACCGAGCCACTGGGCTCGACTAGATAGGTGTCAAGTCTGCCTTACACGGACCTGCTGCAGTGCTGGATGTGGGGCAGGCATGGCCTGCACATGCTCTTTCGCAAATCGGAATTCAATTCAGCCATGTGCTCCCAGCTGCATCAGGAAGCACATAGCCGGTCTGCGCACCATCGCACTAGGCACCACAGCACGAGGCCCATTTTGTGCCATCGGACCCAACATAGCATGTCAATCAGCCTGCGCTCAGCTGCGATACCATGTGAAGGCATGGCCAAGTGAGGCCAGGCTCCACTAAACCAACCTTGGATTTGGGAGGCCCGCTGATGGAGTGCAAGGAGGGAAAGAGGCAGAGAGAGAGAGGGAGACATTTCGATCCAGCCTCCGCTCGAGGCAATAAAATTCGAAGCCACAGACTTGTTTCCTTGCCACTCACAGGGGAATCCCCTAGCCGTCCTTGTTTCTCTGCAGAACTTCCCTTGTTTGAGTGTGCAATCTCTCAACAAGCTAAACTTGCCTTGTTTGAGAAGTTTTCTCTCCACTGCCTCCCGCACACGTCGGGGGCGCCGACTGGCGCGCGGACAAGGGGGGTCCCCTCCCCTTGTCCATAACCCTGCCGAAAGAAAGAAAGAGAGAGAGAGAGAGAGAGCACATGGTTTAGGAGGGGTGTCTTCGGGGGGGGTTCAGTTCAGGCACACTCTCAGGGCAACGTGAAACCATCCACCCCCCGAAAGGGGCCAACCAGACGTACAGCCACGCGCCGCGAGGGGTCGGCCTCCCAGCCAGGGGGGTTACTAGCAGCCCCTATACCCCGAGCAAGCAAGCAAGAGAGAGAGAGAGAGAAGAGAGACAGAGCACTTGTTGGGACTATTTGCAATTGTAGCCTTTCCATGTAGATTACAACAAAGGCAGATGGCCGTTCCCCCGGGTGTTGTATCGTTCGTCAGCCCAACTTTGTCAACTTTGTTATTATTTTGCTTATACTTCCAGCTGGTTTTGCGTGTCTCTCAACAGGCGTAGCTGCCTTCATGTTGTGAGCCGGTTTCCCAGAGCCTCTCCGCAACAGTCGCGGGCGCAAGAGAGAGCAGAAGAAGAGTAGCCCTGGCGAAACAAAGAAACGGGAAAGTGTCCCATTTCCTATTGTAGATACTCAGTCAGGCGCGGCAAACCGGGCTTCAGGACAACATGGGCCAATGTCCCAAGGTTGCAAGCAAGGAGCGGTCAAAGATGTTGGGTGGCGAGTTTTGAGCACCGAGCCCGCGGAGCCTGAGGCTGGCGATCGTTGGCTTGGTCTGCTGGGTTCCAAGTGGCCGGCAGCGAGCACTAGGGGACCAGCGGCTAGTCGTTGGACACCGAGGTTGTGCTGCCGTTGCAAGGGCCGTAGGCCTTTGGTGGGTGGCAGTGAGAAACTCTTGGAAGCTTTGGACCTCCAAGCTCGAGCAGATATTCATTGCACTGTTCGTGCCGTGTCTGAGACGCGGCACGGCCTCCGCCAAGTGGTAGCATCATTGTGTGACTGCGCACCTGCCGTCCCAACGTGACATGAACCAACAGCTGCAGACGAGACGAGATGCGCATTCGCCAAAAGCTGCAAAATTGCCGTGCTTCGAGCATTCAGCTCGTATTTGCATTACTACAGCCGCTGCTCGTAGGTGCGGTGAACCCCCGTTGCGTTCTTCAGGTTCCTGCTCTTGTAGTTTTGGTGTCCTCCTTCAACGAGCAGGCGCACAGGGTTTCCGAGCAGCTGTCTTGTGTGTCTAGGTCTTCGTTTAAGGACAGGCTGCAATACAAAAATCAGAGACATCCGATTTGGCAGGACTCGGAGGAGTTCACGGAAGCACAAGTGGCGCAAGCCCAAGGCAGCCTGCGGCTGCGCCATGCAGGCCTCGCCTCCACGCTGCTAGGCGGCGGGGGCGGGAGGGAGGGTCTTCTGCAGAAATACAATCAATGCAGAAATTCATCAAAATCGAACACTTCCCACGCATGTACCCTCAAACCATTGCAGTCGCGGCAGCTTGTGGCGGCACCAATGTATTAATGAGGTGTTCAGGTTTTTTGGTTTCGACTTGAAGCGGTCTCGATGGCCATCGCGAGCACTCTGCCGCAGTTTACCGTCCAACTGTTGCCAAGGTTTTCATTTTCTTTGCGCGTTTTCCAGCGTCTTTAAATGATTTCAGCGTCTATAGAGGCACGGCCGGTTCCTGGTGCAGCCTGGCAGCATATAGCTCGCGTAATCTGGCATCCGTGGAAGTCTGCAGCCAGATATTCGTGGTGGTCGAGAGCCTTGAGTGTTTCTGAGAACCCAGTTTTCTATGATACTGCCTTCTACGGCACAACGATCTTCGCGCCGGGGGCTCCGCTTGGGTTCGGTGAAATCCGGGGGTCACTCAGAGAGTCTGAGGCCGACGATCCTCGAACGAATGTGTCTCACAGGTTCCATGGTGGATGGGCGCTGCCACTTGGCTCAAGGAGGCAGGCCGGATCTGGAAGTTTCGAGGGATCCTGGCTTGAAGGTCAGCAGTCGCTGCAGCAGATCTCGCAACAGTCCGCCATCATAACAGCGATGGGCATCCTCCTGAGAAGCTTTTGAAGGTTGCAGTACAGACACCGCCACGACAGACAGTGCATGGCGGCCACACCCATGCAAGGCATCCCGGGCTGCTATGCTGCGATGATGATGATCGACAGGACGCCGTCTCTTGGAGTCTGCAACTCTGGCTTGCCCATTCGACATTGACATTTCCAAGCACAGGTACAGCACAAGAAGCAACACAGCCAGTGCGAGCTGGCAGCTAGCATGTCCATATCGAGCCAGGATGGGTTGCAAACGTCTGAATGCCTACGGCTTCCTGGACTCTCAGCCAAACTTTGTTCACAAAGTTGCTCCAGCTTCCAGGATTCTCGTTTTCTAAGGCTCTCGCAGTGTCTTTCGCCGCGCTGGCTTTGGCCTGGATGCTGGCACCGCAGCTGTAGCTCGCTCAGCTCGTGAAGGCAACACCATTGCGAGCCTATCTGAAACGGATCCGGTGGGCTGAGCCTTCCGAGGCATTTGCTGCACTTCGCCCGCTCCTCAGCATGTGAATGGAATGGCCATGGATAGGATTATTTTCAAATTGAGAAGCTGCGAAATGCTGCGAAGGTGCTCTTTTGCCTTCTGACTTTTCTGCTCAGTTGGGGTCCTAACCTTGGCACCTACGTCAGAGCCTCGCGGCCTTGCTGCCTCGCGCTCGTTGCGATAGAAACCGCAAAGTCGGCACCACCTGAGGTTCTCCCAGTCATCTGCTTCCCGGCGGTCATCCGGAGCACAGGCTGGACACTTACTCATGACTTCGCCATGTGGCTGCGGCCCAATAACGTCTGCGGCCACATTGGGCTGTTGTGAAGGCCACGGCTTATCCAGCGCAGGCGGCAAGGTTGGTGCTGTTGTACGGTGCCAAGCCGGGCGGTAGGGCATGTGTGCCGGGCATGGATCCTCAGATCACCCTGAGGCGGGCGCTTTGATCTTTCCGCCCATCAGCACAGGATCGGCCTGCTGGCACTGCACATGTGGCAGATGCACAGCAAGACAAATTCAGACAACTTCCTCCACGGACATAACTCCAATGCTACCTTCTCGAAACAGGCCCCTGCGGCGTCACGGGCGTGCTTTGGCTCCAAGCCGTGTTTTGCTCAGACGGGCGATGCTGGTCGGCGACCGGACTTGCATCCTGCGACTGGTCGAAGGTGATTTGCCTGCTGGGGGCAGTCGTCGTGCCAGCCTTGGTTTGCGACAGTTCTGCGACAGTACTTAGTGTCACAAGGACCTAGTTCTCGGTATGGAGCGCTTCTCGTCCTCTTCTGCACTCCCGAGTCGTGGGCCTTCCTGAAGCACGACTGGGAATACATGGCATCTGGATCTGGTTGGAGGCTTGGTCTGAGGCTCCCTGCCCACCCTCTCATGCTTTCTCCTGAGTCGCCATGCAGGGGTCCTGTGCTTAGTCGGGTCGCTGAGGCAGCTTCACGTTCAACGTGGAAGTCGCTGGTGACTAAGACCTGCTAAAGGCACAAGCATCTGGTTTGACTGGCAGGCTTGCTTCTGATCAGGCCGGTCCGATCCTGGCGCAAGGGAGCTGAAGTTCCAATCGCGGCGGCTAGGCTAGGAATTGATGCTAATTGCAGCGCTTGGTCACAAGAGAATCGAGCTTGCTGGAAGACAACACCTGATTGTTTCCGTCCAAAGTGGACCGGCATCCCAGATGCTGTTTGCTGGCTTAGATGCCCACTGTGATCTTAATCATGTAGTGAAATATCCAGCTGCGCCCAGCATGCTTGCTGTGCTGCGTGCCAGTTTCAACTGAGCCAAGAGACATGTCTTGATTCTGTGGAAGACAGAAAAGGATTGCCGGGAACATTGAGCTTCACTGATGTGCCCGCCACTCCTCTTGCGTTCCTTGTGCTGGCCGTCTAGCTTCCTTTCTCAGGTCAGAGAATTCAACCTCATTTTTTGGATCGTTTAGAGAGTCGGCTCAGAAACCAGGAGGTGGATTGTGGCAATTGGACATTCCAGCGGCACTCTGGGCCTGCTCAGCCGAACCATCCACATGCCAGCAATAGCGTGGCTGCTGGCCGTGTGCGGGGCTGAGGGTCTAGGAATGTGGCCCTGCTTTGATATTGGTTGCGTGGGCAGTGCAGATCCATCTTGGCAGCCATTTTGGCCAGATGTCCTGATTCAACGAAGTGCCCGTACCATCCATACGATAGCGAAGCTTTCCGCCAAGCATGCTTGGCATGAAGGACAGGCTCACAGAAATCTCAATGAATACCCACTGTGCATGAGCACATGCGCGAGTGTGTACGAGTTCCACATGTATACACGGATTGTAGAAGTTGCTGCGGCTTTAAACAGCGACTAGCAAAAGCGAAGCCAGCTGTCGATTGCATGAGCCGGAGGAGATGAAGCTAATCGCAGAGACGTGCATCATTGGAGGCTGCTACATCCTGATAAGTGCCAGCCTGATCGCCTTCAACAAGTACTTGATGACCCGGGAAAGAAGATCAACTCTTTTTTCGTTATGTAGGTGGCGCATGATACCTTTCTCTAGTGTTTTCCTGAAGTCTGAGGGTGCATCTGGGAACCGCAAGGAATGTGGAGCGTTTCCCTCATCCAAAAGCCATGACGGCAATGCACATGCTGATGACCTCGGTCATGTCTCTGCTGCTCTACACTGCCGCGCCAAGCCTCTATCCAACAATGGGAAAAGCGCGTGAGAACTGGCGGGCACTGTCGGGACCTTGGCTTTGCCTGGTTGAGACATGGGGTGCAACATTGCAGTGGGTGGGCCTTAGGTGTGCGCTGCTGAGAGGGAGAGAGAGAGAACCGCCGAAAACGAAAGGCATAGACCGCTCGCTTTCCAAAGAGGTTGCAGTACATCCTGCCGCTGGGAATGCTGTTTGCCCTGGCCTTGTACTGTTCGAACCGCGCCTACCTCTACTCGAGTGCTCCCGAGATGCACAGAGCAGTTTTTCCCGATCGTTGGATCATACGGGACATGGCGGACATAGCGACAAGCTTTGTCATTCGAAGCTAACAAAAGCGAAGCCCTGAACAAAGCCAGCT